GCCGGGGGACGCGCCGTGCCGGCGAACTCCGGCCCGCCGAGGGGTGAAGGGGCCCGACCAACGCGGGTCTCTCGACGGACCGCTCTTCGCTTCCCTGCCTGCCAAAGCGCGTGGAGGCGAGGCAGCCGCCCGCGGGCTGCTTGCTGCGGGAGGCAGCGCTGCGGACCCGGTTCGTGCCCCATCCCTGGCTGGAAGGCACGGCCGCGGCAGCCCCTGCCTCGAAACGTGCGTCGCCCCGGCTCTCTGGCGGCTGGGGGTTGCTGGGGGCTTCCCGGTTGCAGCCCCGCGGGGTGCGTTCATCGCTTGGGTTTTTTGCAGGTGTTCGAGAAAAAGGGCCTTTCAGATTGCCAGGTCCTTTCTGCCCATCCTGGAGTGGCTGCCCAACTACCGGGTGAAAGAGTGGCTGATCAGCGATGTCATCTCGGGGGTCAGCACCGGCCTCGTCGCCACCCTGCAAGGTAAAGCCGGGCACGTCGGCCCTCCGTGCTGGGGGGCGGTCCTGTGAGGGAGCCGGCCGAACACAGGGGTGTTTTGCAGATGGAATTACAAATCTGAGACTTGTTACTGAATACTAGATATTAGGTATTATTTTGCGATAAATAATTGATGGCTTCGATTTATTCCTTTTTTCTCTGCTTGGCTAGGAGATTTAACTTCCTTTGACGTGCTGTCAAGATGTGCTTAGCTTTTTTCCCAAGACTTTTACTCAAGGAGTATTCGTTTTTATGTTTAAAATTTTAAGTACATTGTGATAAATCAGATAGGCCATGTGGTCTTATTTCTCTTTCTTGGTTATCTGAGCCTATAGCTCTCCTGCAGCTGCCTACAAAAATCTAGTTATTGCCCCAAAATCATGCAACCCTGATATCTACTCACCTTTAGAATTCGGCCCGTAAGGTTGCTCCGATATCTGCAGAAAACAACTCTCAAGGAAGTGGCAACATATTCACATTAACAGAATTTATAAACTTGATGGATATTTACAGTATGTGGCTTGAAATATCAAATTTTCCTTATTTCCTTATTCCTTTTACTAGGAAGGCATTCAGCAGATGAAGAAATAGAAGTGTGGTAGAAATAAGCAGAAATTAATTAAAATAGGCTAGTTAAGGGAGACTTAAAGGGCAGAACCATTCTGCCCGAGGCAGCTGATAAGGTCCACTTTCAAAGACAAGACTAGCTGTAACCCTGACACGATCCAGCACATTCATTTCTTTCATCTCAATAATATTCTTACACTATTTTCACAATTTTTCAGAACTGGGGGAGGTTAAGCTGGCTGTGTCAAGCCCACATTTTCCTTCAGTGGAAATTAAGTGCTTGCACAAGGGGGCAAAGACTCACATTGGGAACAAAGAAAACAGTTTACACATTCCCAGTTAGCCGCAAGTATTCCCTACTACTGCCTGTTCCCTTGGAGTGTGCTAAGAAGGCACAGACTGGTAGCAAAAAAACGTTACAGACTTCTGCCCCAGGCAGAGGGTGACCTAAGAAATAATGAAGTGACTTGTCCACAGCCCCGCAGAGAGTCTGTGTCAGAGCTGGAAGATCTCTGCCGAAGGTGGTGCCACAGTTGCAGGACTCCCCTGCCTTTTAAAATGAACTGCGCTAGGTGGGCCTTTCATATGACTTATTACAGCTATTATGCTCTTACTGTAACCACCTCATGTATTTTTTCACAGTGGGGCTGATTTTCTCACAATTAGATTCCACTTGTAGAACTGATTTCTGAAATACACTGTTTGGTCTCCCACCTAGGTATTAAAAAAAAAAAATTAAAAAACCCCAAATTAGTGCAAATCTAAATCTAGCTGTAATTTAAAAAAACTATAATAATTCTGAAATTCTAAATCATGTAATACAGGGAAAATTGGCCAAAATGTTTGCCAGAAAAGAGGCTTCTGGCATCTTCAAGTCCCTGCAGTCCCTAACTCCCAGCAACTGTGTGTGTTGCTTGCAGTCCTCCCACCAGTCACAGTAGTATGACCAGGACTTCGTTTTGAGCTCTGATAGGTTTTTGCGGTATCTTTGAAGGAGAATACTACACCCTGCAGTGGGACCTAACCGGGATATGATACTGAAGGCAACTTTTTTTTTTCATTGTTTGTTGGATTTGACAGCTTGAACAGGTATATAAAGGAAGACGATGATAAGGGTCAAAACTGAAATTTGTGTGATTTACTTTTGGTTTTTAAGTTTTTAAGCTGATACTGGAAAAAAAAGTGGCCTGATTTTCAGAAGGGCTGAACATACTGAAGCATATTTGTAGTGCAATAATTCAGAGTCTGTGCTTGAAATTTCTGTCTGTAACTAGAACACTTCACATATCATTCTTTTCTTTCAAGGAGCAGACCATTCACTCTTGCAACAGTGTTCCCCCACTTCACATCTGAGCCTTTTTTGTGCTGCCTGTACAAATATAGGAACATCTTTCAGTACTTACTCATCCAGCTACCAGTGTGGGATATACAATCATTTACAGTCATTGATACTTACATATGTGCCTGCAACTGATTTACAGACAAAACACGTTCTAAATTGTATCTGGACAAAAGGAGTAAATCTTTCTGAAAGTCTGTTCTAGACAAGATATTAGTTTGCTGAGAGATTTTAAATCTGATGTTTTGATGATCTATCATTTCAGGTTTGGCATATGCTTTGCTGGTTGCAGTTCCTGTTGGATATGGTCTCTATTCTGCCTTTTTTCCCATCCTGACATACTTTTTCCTGGGAACTTCAAGGCACATCTCAGTTGGTAACTGCATGTGTTCAAATTACAGTGAATTACCTATTACAAAATGTTAATCCTCACTGTGAACATTCATATTTCATACAAGATAACTACTTTCTGAACCAAACTGGTTGTGCTGAATATTAATATTGGTGGGTCTGAGGGACTGAAGGCTTACTTATTTTCTGTACAGGCAATTGTGCATAATAGCTAACTTCAGTTGTGCCCATGCGTGCTTTTTGCTTGCATTTATGCTGAACTTTAAATCTTGTCTTTGGCTACACTCTATGCAAGAAATTACAAGATCAAGGCCTCAGTAGGCATTATGAACAGACATTTTGTCTATCACCTAAAGCTCAAGATGGCTAAAACGGAGCTCTTTTAGTCTTCTCTACAAGCCTTCCTTGCTGCATCCTTTTTTTGATCACTGTGGACAATATCATCTTCTTGCCTGTCGCTGAGACCCAGAACCTGTGTGTGCACTCCAGCCTCGCTCTAGGTCCTCACATCAAGGCTATGGGTAAACCTTGTTGATTCTTTCTGAATACTTTCTTTAAAATATGGGGTTTATTTCCTGTCAGTTCTCATATTTAAAATTCATGTTACAGCTTGATCACTGAAGTTTCTTTTTCTCCATTCAAACCAAATACTGTCTTTCCTTGTTCATATCTACTGAGACTAGACTGTTTTCCCCTCCCAAAACTTTGGCATAATATTACGCTTTTTCATCAGCTTTCTTCTCTGCTGCATCAAATACTTCTGTATGTTCTCCCCACTTTGTTAGCCTCTTCTTCTCCTACCTATCAGCTCACATTGCTATCCAGGTCTGAGTTGTCACCTCTGCTTATGTTGCCATTCCTACTTTCTACATTATCAAATGCTCCTTTTTATGCTTTCTCCAATACTCTTACTCATGAGGTGTCCTCTAAGGTATCTGTAAAATTAACTTATCCTTCAAGATATTTCATGACGTTTTCCTTTTCTGCAACAATTTTAGTAAATAACTGCAACAAATGCGATTACTTTTAGATTGTGTGTTGCTGACACAATGATCACTTACTTTCTCTGTATCTTGCCCAAAGTATAGTTTCAGTCATCTTTAGCCAATGTAATACCACACTACTGCCCAAAGATGTGGTCCTACCCCTTGGTGCATGTTCCTGCCACCACCGTGGTATTGAGATTCCTAACCATGCAGCTAAGTGGCAATCTGGATCAGCTGCAAACTAACCATGACCAAAAAAAAAAAAAAAAAAAGTTGCTTTCAGCTGAATCAGTGCTCTGTTTTGTCTGGTTGTGGTGCTGATACAATGAAGATGGTTGGAACATGTTGCCCCTTTTGGCCTTGGTACAGCTCTGAATTGGCTTAAGCAAAGCATGAAACTGCACCTGTGTGTAGGACGTAAGTTATTTAAGGAAGGAGTTCTATCTTTGTGTCATGTTTGCAGTGCCTGTGGCTCCTGGCCCCCTAATAATACTAGTGTACCTCAGTTAAAATATTAAATTGATTTTCTGATTCAGAGTTTGCTTGTCTAGTCTGATAAATGCTTCTTTTTGATCTATATTAAACTTCAGTGTTTCTGTTTGTCATTACAGGTCCATTCCCTGTAGTCAGTTTGATGGTGGGATCTGTTGTATTGAGCATGGCCCCTGATGATAATTTTCTCATAGATGGTGGTAATGCTACAGGGACTAATGGTACTGGGACACTGATAGACACTGAATCCAGAGATGCGCAGAGAGTGCTGATTGCTAGTACCCTCACATTTCTGGTTGGAATTTTACAGGTAAAATAGTTGGCTTGAAGACACAAGGTTGATGTTGCTTTAATTTTAATGGGAAAACATACGGCATGGAAATAAATCCTAGGGCAGTAAGACATTTTCCTGTAGTAAAACACAAAAATGAAGGAAAGTAATCTCAAACTCTGAAGAGCTTTTGGGGGATTATCCCTCTTATCCTGGGCAGAGTCTGTGGCAGCGTGACTGGGAGCACAGACAACAGAAGACTAGCCCTGTGATTGCAGACCAAGAGACCTGCATGAAACTAAGTGCTAATGGTGCATATCCTGGAGCATCCTTTCACATGTTTTTTCAGGTCTCCTTTATTTCCTTGGATGGCATGATATTAAGCTACACTAGGCTGCAATGGGGGAAGATGGTCCTAAGACTCTGTATAAACAAAGAGAAAAGAAAAAAGCATAAGAAATCACCAAATAAAAGTGTACCTTTCTGTTGTTTAGCAAGCTATTATTCTTCTTCATGATTTTTCCAGGTAATATTTGGAGTCCTTCAGATTGGTTTCATTGTGAGGTACCTTGCAGATCCACTAGTTGGGGGATTCACAACTGCAGCTGCTTTTCAAGTGCTTGTGTCACAATTGAAAATAGTCCTAAATGTTTCAACTAAAAACTATAATGGTGTCCTTTCCATAATATATGTAAGTATGCCCTTCTAATCTGTTTTGGGTCTATGCCAGAATTTTTATATAATTGTTTATCTTCTGCTTCCATTTCATACAGGAATGGTTCATAGATGTATGTTGCTAAGTATAGGGCATTAATTTAGTTCCCACTCAAATGAAGATCTGCAGCTGTTAATTTATAGCTGTGGGGCTCTTAAGTAGCTGCTTTCAGGGTTCCCTAGACAGAAAGTCTAATTGCCATCTTGAAGTCTTTCAGCAGAGCAGTTTTTTACATAAAGTTTAAATGTAGTTTTCCAGCAAAACAGTTCTTCTCTAGGTTGTTACTTTCTGTCCCACCCCTTGCTTTCTGGCTTATTGTGAAGGATGTTTCATCATTTCTTAACGCTGTCACATCCCTCTTTACTCTTAAACCAGCAGGTCATTCTGGTAAAGGGCATCATTCTCCATTCCACACTGTAGCCATACTTGTGAATACCCAAAGAAGGGTGTAGATTCCCACCCTGCAGCCAGGTACCTACTGCTTAGCTAATGTGAGGCTAAATGTTGCTGTCACAACTCCATTTGTTGGTCTTAGAGAAAACGATCAAATGGAGAAATGTCTTGGCCGGATTACAGAAATACTGAATTCCTAGAGATCTCATATTACGGAATAGTCTCCTTCCCCAGGAAAATTGTTGAGAGTTTTGTCACTGACTTCAGCATGAAGCTATTCAGGTTTATAGTATTTAAGATCTTCCATAGCACTTCACATCAGAATAACAGATTTCTAAAAGAGGCTGGTTTAGACAAAAAAATGTATTTACAGATCTTACATGCCAGTTCAGGCAACCAGACTAGCAAAAACACATTAGACATCTAGATTAGCAATAATAGGATGAATATAACTACAATCAGCAAGGTAAAATTTAGAAAAAAAAAAATCTGATGGACTATTTGGAAAAAAAAAAAAAGGTATTATGTTCTGGGACTTTTCAGAACTAATGAAAACTCTTTCCCTCAGAACAAGCAAAATTAGATGAGAAAAAGTACTATCTAATAGACCTTAGAGCATACCTGGCAGGGTGATGGACTCATTAATCCAGCAGGTTTTCTATCTAAATTTTTTATGTTTATTGAAGGGTAGTACATTTAGTAGAAAGTATTTCTGAAAAGGAATTACATGGTTCTTCCAGCTCCTGCAAGTCCGAGTGGAATGCTTTTTAAGTTAAAGCTCAAAGCTTCTGTGTTCTTACAGGTATGCCAAGTCAATGTGTTCGCAGATGTGTGTAGAGCAAAGAAATTGTGATTTCTGGTCTGCTCAACCAGTGACTTGCTGCGTCAGCTTCAGCAAATTTGGACTTGCTTCAGAAGTGGTGTTTAAAAAACTGCAACACTAAGCATCCAACATTAGCAGAATTCACAACCTGAAGTTAGGAAGTTACTGTTGCCCTGTGAAGTGGGGCAGTGCGAGAGATGGTCAGTAAGAATGGGGTCCATGGTAAGCGGTACAACAGGCAAGAAATGGCTTCAGTCACCTGAAGAAAGGCATCTGATTCAGTGTTTCAGGAAGGCTTCTTCTTTAGCTTAGAAAACATAGCTGATTAAGCACTCAGATGTTTTATTTCAAAACCAGAGTCTTTTCAGAATGGTAGTAGTGGTACTGCTGCTGCAACCCTCCCCTTGCCTTTAAACTGACAGCTCAATATCTGGGAAGCTTACCAGGATGCAAGAAGTCTGTTTCTAACCTCTTTTCTACCAGATCATTCTGTTAAAGCTGCTTCACTATGCATGGAATAATTAAATTTTCTTGGAGACAGCGGGCAAGTGAGTATTGCCCTGATGCTCAGGAGGAGGATGGAGGAGTATTTGTAGCTTTTCTGTAATCAGCCCTTCGTGTTTTCTCTGTACACTTGTTTGCAACAAACAATAGGACCAAGCAAGGGCATAGCAAGGGTAGAGAAGGGACCTGCCTATTGCAGCCCCGTTGTGAGAGTCCTCCAGCCTGGGACTGAACTGTGCTGGGAGGGTTAATGTACCATAAGGTGAGGTTTAGTGAATGCTTTTCTCAAGTGTAGGATTCTCCACAGCCTGGCAGGACCCACATGTTCATATGCATTCTATGGATGTCGACAGTGGAGATAGGAAACACGTAATCCACAGACCATATGTACTAGGCACGTAGTGAACCACAGTTTTGCCCGTGGGTCTGCTAGCTGTCTTTTGAATAGAAAAATTAGGATCTCCCTTACTATTCAAAGTGAGGAAGCTATAGATCTTCCTTCCTTGCTCCAAGAACAGGTAGAGGTAGAACACAGGTAGGGGTTTAGCACTTCTTACTTAGTGTTAATTTCCTAAAATTCGGGAAGCGGAAGCCCCCTGTGTGTCAATTCTTGGAGTTATGCTTTTTCAGTTAAATTCACCATTAAATCCATTCACTGATTCTGTAGCACGCTGACAGTACAGTATCCTCGGGCTCCTCCAGGCCTCAGCAAGCAAGTAACTCTGCCTCCTGCAAAACCCTGTGCATCTGGATCTTCTCATGAGTATTTTCACATTCTTCAAGTGGACACGGGCATGTTTTATGTTGTCATTTTTATTTTTCAGACTCTTATTGAAACATTTGAAAAAATTGGTACCACCAACATTGCAGATCTTACTGCTGGACTCCTCACCATTTTTGTCTGCATGGTAGTTAAAGAAATAAACGATCGGTTCAAACACAAGATACCTATACCTATACCAATAGAAGTTATTGTGGTAAGCAAAGGAGCATAATAAAAATGGATAACAGATAAAATAGATGGTACTAGCTACAGGAAGACAAGAACTCTTTTTAAGTATTAAAACTGCTGTTTTATTTTATTACAGACAATAGTAGCCACTGGCATTTCATATGCTGCTGACTTGGAAAAAAAATACAATGCAGGCATTGTTAAGAGCATTCCAAGAGGGTGAGTGCTTTTGTTTTCTGGGAAATAGGTATTTTTTTAATTGGCTAAAAATGACAGTGGTAAGAGAAAAGACATAAAAGATATTGAGAGCTGTAACCTGAGTTTAGAACTCAGAGCTGGAGACTTCTGAAGTTTACTTCTGGCTCTGTCAATTATGCCATCTAAATATGATGCCTAGCTTTCCTTCATCCATAAAATGGGCTTAGGAACATCTACCTGATTCATGAAGTTCATCTGAGAATTAATTGCTTCATGCTCTTGAAGTGAATATATGAATATGGAAAATGTAAAAAAAAAAAAATTAAAGGATTTTTAATAATGAAATTCTGTATAGATTTAAGTTCTGTAGACCTGACTTATCCCACTGTGGTTCATATTCATGCCACAACTGTTATCCCAATCAGTCTTGTCACTTCCATAGTCATAGAAGCAAGGATGTTGAGGATTACACTGGTAGAGACTTTCACTTGAAAGATTCAGAGCACTTCACAGTAGTAACCTTCACATTCCATTTGGTATTCAGGGCTTGATTAATTAAAATTTGTGGAAACACAGTAGGGGATAAAATGTTTTTGAGATCTTCTGAAGAAGTATGTTAACAATAGTATGAAGTGTCATTAACATATTTATGTAATTCATTATACTATTCAATACATCCTTTATTCAATGCTTCAAAAAATGTACTTTTTCACTTTGCTATCATAAGGCCAAATCTCAGTCATGCTGAGAACAATGGGAGCTTTGTTGCTGACTAATAGCATCAGGATTTGGGCTATGGTGAGCTAGATAAGCATGTTCTGTATGTCAATGGCCTGTTTCCACCTTTTTATTAACTTGAAACATTACACTTCACATTATGAGCAACCTGTATGCCTCCACCTCAAACTCCTTGACAATTCTAGTAAGAACAGAATTTGATCAAAGTTGATAACACTAATATATTTTCTAAATGCTAGATTTTTGCCTCCTGAACCTCCAGATGTCAGCCTGTTTTCCCAGATGATAGCAGCCTCCTTTTCCATTGCTATTGTTGCTTATGCTATTGCTGTATCTGTGGGGAAAGTATATGCAACCAAGTATGATTATGCTATTGATGGAAACCAGGTATGTATAACCAAAATAGTTTATAAACATAGTGAATTTAAGTTCTGTTTCATGTTGACTTATGTAGCCAAATGAAAGAAATGTCATTCACATACATTTTTCAGACTAAAGTTGAAGTCTGACAGGAGAAATTCTTTCAGCTTTGAAAAGAAATAGCTGAAGTGGCCATATATTACCTGACAATTTTACTACATAGAGATGAGCCAGATATGCTCTATCTTCAGTGTGGGTTTTTCATACTAATTAATTCCTTCTGTATTGCTTTAGTGACTGCAGTAGCTCTGGAAAGATAATTAAAGCTAAGCACTGTATAGGGGAATTTTCTGGTGATGTCAAGTTGACATGGCCAGCTTTAGCAACCTGCTTTCCATTTCTATTTGTAAGGCATATTTTGAGGTGAGTTGCTGGGGGGGCGTGGGGCGTGAGGGGAGGCAATGTCAAGCTAAGAAGCTGTTCTGGACAGCTTTATTTAGGCTTAGTCTACATGCAGGATTTCAGTTAAGGCATGATTTTATTCCTACAGAATAAATTGTTGTACTTCTCAGCACAACAGCAGTTACATCAATATAAATATACTTGGAACTGTATAGCTAAGTCCTGCAGCTTCACAAAAGTAAATGCCCACCAGCATATGAATATACTTGAATAACTGTCTGCACCAAATGGCTGAATTGTTTTAACCATTGGTTTCTAAAGGCACATAGCTAGAATGTTACATGAGCTATGTATGCATTGACAAGCTCTTAAAGAATTCCTGCAGTTGTTCAGTGTCTTCACGGGGGGTTATGTGGCTTGCCCATGGGCGTGGGAGAAGAATGTCAGAAAGCTTCCTTGTCCTGCATCTATGCTAATTTTGAATTTTATCCTTTGAACATATGAGAAAATGCACTCACTACAATAAATAGATAAGCTATTTTAAGATATTTTATTACTAATGGATTACATAAAGTTTGATTTTGGAAACACTGTTTTGCAGTATGTAACAAAATTATATTTCTGAACATGCCAGTCACTTTACAATACACAGAGTTCATATCTGGTAACACTTTGATTTAAAGTTGCCTAAAATGCATTGACTTTCAGTTTAATAAATCTGAATGAATAATACATATTCCTGGAAGTGCTGTTTATGCTGTTCCTTTGTTGAATATGCTATTCTGCCAGCACTGATGTGCTTCAAAGATACTAATTAAATATTGTAGTAATAGAATTACTGTCTGTAAAAGCAAAGTGCCTTCCTTTCAATACTATGCTATGAATTTTACACATAGCAAAGGTTCAATACAGCCATGAATGATGGACACATTTTTTACTTGAACTGGAGAAGTTAAAATAACATCATAAAAGCAGGTAGTAAAATAATTTTGAAGGATGGGTCCATACTATTATCTGCCAGTGTTTATTTTGTCTTCATATATTCATAGATTATTAAGACCTAAGAACAGTAGGAACCATACTTCCAACATTTTCTTGTGGAGTACAGCTGTTACACAGGAATAGGCATGAATCATCTAGGTCTGTTGTGTTAAAGAACCTGACTTTAAAATCCTGTCCTTGTAGCTGGAGCTTAAAGAAAAGCTTACAGGAAATTTCATTTTGGAGAAAAGAAGGGAGAGAGTCAAAATCAAATCTCAAATTATATTTTTAAAAATTTGCAGTGAGTGAAAAGTTCTTGTGTCTCTGTCAGCTTGGTGAAAACAATGTTTCTGTCAATTATATGGGGTTGCAGGCAGCTCCCAAATGCTTCATTTCCCAGCAGAGGAATGGCCCAGATCCCAGGACATAAAGCTCCAGGGTCCTTGTCACTTGAGCAGAACAACCAGCATCAGTAGGCGCCAGCATCTGTGACCCTGGGGCAAATCTATGAGAACGCTGCCTGGGACTCAGCATGAGTTCATTGGGATGTTCAGAGTGAGAAACTTCTGGCTCAACAAACTAGAAGTTTTCAGTGAAACTGTTTTATTGCAAAGTTCCTGATTAGTTCTACTAATAATACAATGCTTTGCATTAATTAAGGCTTGTCTAAACAGAGACTGTTGTACTGATTAAAAATATTTGTTTAGCTGATGATACTTGGGGGTTAAAATTATACTAGTCCCATTTCCTGATGCAATTATACCAGTATAATTGTTAGAAGTGTTAGGTTTGATAACATTGATGGAAATAAGCTTTAAATGTCTTTACACTAAGATGAGTATGTACAATTAGGGAGAGTATGCCAACTTCATTGTATTGGTTTCCAAACACAGGTAGTTACACTGGCACAAGAGGAATTTGTGTAAACATTTAACAGCTGTTATTAATCCATTTTCTCAATATTATTGTGCTACCTACATTATAAACTACTGTAGAAGCTATTGTTATTCTCCATTGCAAAATTGTCTTCAGGCATCTGTATTTACAGCATCATCTAATTATCTTTCAGGAATTTATTGCCTTTGGGTTCAGCAACATTTTTTCAGGTGCCTTTTCTTGTTTTGTTGCAACTACTGCTCTTTCACGGACTGCAGTCCAAGAAAGTACTGGTGGAAAGACTCAGGTAATGACCTCTTCTTACTAGTACTGTGCACAGGTAAATTTAATCTTGTATAGAGCACAGCTTTCACAATGGGATGAAAATAGCCCTAAAACGATTGTGTTGCTGGCATGTGGAAAGCCACAGGTATCTTAGCTAGCAGCTTGTGCTTTGGTAGTGAATAATTTTTATAGCTCTGCCAGAAGAGGGCAATCAAGTTTTACATAGCATGAGTTACGTTAGGGGCCAGAAATCCTTCAAACCTAATTCACCAGAACTTCATTCTCAGTTAAGGGACTGAGTTTGTCACAGTAGGAATTCAGGATGAGGGAGGAAATTGTCTTGCAGCTGTCTATTTGACATTTAAGCTCCCATGTGCTGGCCTGAGCAGCCCTGCTATTTGCCATTCATCTGACCATGTGCCATCTTTCTCATGCTGAGTAAGCTACTCTGTTTTACAGTACTACGGCTTTGCATTTTTTAGCAGTGGATAACTACAGGTTATCCAGCAGCCCCTTTTCCGGCTGATACACAGACTCTGCTCCTTTCATCTCTCCATGGAACGTAACCCCTCCAAGAGCTACTACCTTGCGTGCAGTTGTTTACACTACCTGCTTAATTGAATTCCCTCTGTGTTAGCTGAAGCGTATAATGATTGCCCATGTATGCCTAAACACAATGGCATTTTAGCAGGTCTTCTTGTTCCTAAAGAAATGTAATGTGCAACTACTTGTACATTTTTCTTTGTAATCCTAGAAACATAAGATAGAGTCTTAATAACTTCATTTCCTATAAACTGTTCTTCGCAGGTTGCTGGTATAATCTCAGCTGGGATTGTTTTGATTTCCATTGTTGCCCTGGGGAAATTGCTAGAGCCCTTACAAAAGGTACCGTACTTGTCCTCTGCAGCACAGCCACCAGCACCAATCAGATCCAAATGCTCAACTTTGATGGGCCGAATTAATAGCTCTGTTTAAACTATGGTGACTGATACCAGATGAGGCTCTGGTTTATAGTGTATAATGTTGAGTGCTATCTTAGTATGCATCTTGGCTTCTGAATAACACTTTTCCATCATTTTTCTTCATAGTCTGTGTTGGCAGCTGTAGTCGTAGCTAACTTGAAAGGGATGTTCATGCAAGTGTTTGATGTTCCCCGTCTGTGGAGACAGAATAAAGTGGATGCTGTAAGTAACTGAATTTTTTCTTTTCTCCTGAATGTTTTTGGCTGGTTTTCTTTTTGCCTTTTAATGCCATCCAGGTTTCTCTTAATTATCATATAAACAGAATTTTGTAGGGTTAACATCAGAAAACTTTAATGTGCGTCCTCAAAATGCACGTGCCATGAGGCCAGTTAAAAATTCCCTGGTTTAGAGTTTTACATGGTATTCTGCTTATCTTCTTTATTCCCTATACCCCACAGTAAGGGTGCCAATCAGGGTATTCCTGTGCAGTGATGACTCCTTCATAGCAATTACCATAGTTTACAGCAATCTTGTGTTGAGATGGCTTGAAAATCAGAATAAAGATGGCCTGTTGCCACCCTTACCATTCTGCTTTTATCTTTTGTACAGTTTAAATGGGTCAGAAAAGCCAACCTTTTCTTAATTCATGTACATATATTTATGTTGTTACCACATTAGCATCCCATTTGCCTGGATAATCTCAGGTAGTCCTCAGAAAAATATGTTTTCTTGTTGTAGCAAGACTAATCCAAGCTAGAATGTGGATACATTTAGCATGCTAAGGGATATGTGAGCAGGCTTTTCTTGCAAACCACTATAACCATATCTCAGGGTACTTGCTCACACCTCCCCCTTTTTTCTCTGTGGAATAGATCTTCAGTGTGGCTATTGGGGCAGGAGAAGATTGTATGGAAAGTATTTTCTCCATGCAGTCCTTACTATGCTTAGATTTTACAGTGTGTGTCATTGGGCAGTACCTGCCTTAGGTAGATTTGAAATTTTTTAGTCAATTGTTTACTAGTTCTCTTTATAGGTAAAAGATCCCACTGGCTTCAGTGAGAAGTGCAGGCACTCAGCTTTTTGAAAGATTGGGTCCACTGGGTGTTCTGCCTGGGCAGTGACGTAGGGAGGAACTGAGGACCCCACTTCAACTGTTCTGCCTGAGTATTCAGTGGAGACTTTAGAGAGTGCCATCAGCCTGCTAATATGAAATACCTCTCTGCAACAGTTCTGGTTCTTAGATATCACTGAGGAGCCCCCTTCCCTCTCTATATGTCTGCAGGTGGGGCATCTTACAGTATTTTACATCTTGGGAAAATAAATTCTTTCCAAATTCTAAAGAAAGATTAATAAAGACTGCCACCATCAGAAAGAAGAAAAAGCAATGGTTAACTGCATGTCCTTCAATTTCACCAAAGTAACTGGATCCTTGAAAAATGTTGTTATGTTAAAAAAAATTATTTCCTAAAAAGCTAACTATGCCTAATAAGATAGTGGTTGATAGAAGCATCCTGGAGGAAGAGGAAGACTTTTGTATGGAAGTCAGCTAATTACTAGTGTGCTATGATCATCTCCAAAGTTAAATTCTTCTGCTATTCATATTGTCTGGTCTAGTGATTCCTTAGCATGACCAGGAGTTACATGTTATAATTAAGAGACTTTACATTTGTTATTTCCTCTCCAGATGATCTGGGTTTTTACGTGTGTAGCATCCATCATTCTGGGACTTGATTTGGGATTACTTGCTGGCCTTTTGTTTGGATTGCTGACAGTTGTGCTGAGAGTTCAGTTGTAAGTAACACAGAATCACAAATAATTGTTAGTATTATACCATGAAAAAAGAAGAAAATATGCTGAAAAGCAAGATGAATTGTGGCAGAAAATCTGCTTGGGTTTACAAAAATTTTGAAATGGAAAAAATCTATTCTTTAGAACAAAACACTGTTTGTGTGCTATCATTTAATTACACTGATAAAAGAGAAGCTGCGTTATTTTATCAGTATTTATTCTGTATCATATTGGGTAATGTGGTGGTACTTAGCCGTATGTTATTTATGCACCCACATAGCTGAGGTCTGGAAAGGGAGAGGAACATTTCAGATCAAATATAAAAAGATGTATGAATGGCTTCTGTAATTAAGTGATCCTTATAGTAACTGTTAACATGTAATACTACAACAGTATGTTGCACATGCCAATAACCTTTTCACTTATTGCTTATACAAGACTGAGTGTATGCCTGTGCAAGGAGAGGAAGAGAAACCATGAGAGTAAGACAAAATTTTGTGCTTGTGGCTGATTTATTGCTGTTCAAGAACATATGGTAGTGGAAAGGTGAGAAAAGGTGGCTTTGCAGAATCTTATTTGGCCATCTTGTTACTTTTCATTGATCTTTTCTCTGAAAATACAACATAACTCCTTTCCTTCAGCCTGGAGTACAGAGAGTATGGTTACTAGCAATACCAAAGGATAGTTCCACTGTCAGCAAATGCATAAAAATAAAGCCTTGCAAAATTTATTACAGAATAGTAAATTATGAAAAATGGAATTTTTAGAGCCTCAGAAAACAATCCCAAATTCAACTCAGGTATGTGAAATCAAAATACAAAAGGAAGGTGAGGCTTTACAAACTTCAAAACAATTTGTTTCAACTGTTCAAAATATATCTGGAAACTGCAAAATATATTGGTTTTGTTATTGACTGAAATAAAAATTAAAAGGGTTGGACAAAAAGTTTTACATAATCTGAAAAGAATGTAAATGTATTGTTTCAGTTGATTTGAAACAAAAAAAGTGATCTAATTTTTTCAGAGTCAAAAAAATTTTTTTTCATTCAAACCAAACTAATCTGCCTTTAAAACATTTTTCTGGTTTGGGAAACAAATGGAACAAGTTATTCATTCAGCTCTACATAAAAATGGTGCGGCAAGTAGGCTGAGACCAAAGTACCTTGTCTTTAAAAAGGACCATTCACTACAAATCAGAAAAAGACACAAACAACACACTTGCAATGAGGCTATTAGTTTGGCAGAAGGGAGCAGACTACAAGAGTCTATGACAGTTTATATGCAGCAATCCCTTCAATTCTGTGAATGCCTAAGTATGATTTTTACCTTCACTGAATTTTCTTTTTGCTTCTGTTAGTCCTTCATGGGGTGGCTTTGGAAACATTCCTGGCACAGACATCTACAAGAAAGTCAAGGACTACAAAAATGTAAGTAATTTCTGAGTTGTTTCCCTTCAGTCTACAAGCCAGTGTAAGACAAAGTTGTGCCTTGTAAATTGTGGACAATTTGAATTTGGAAGTGGAGTGCTCGAAGATAACAACTTTCAGCATTAAATTCTTCATCTTGATCCAGATGGTTGGTCCATATCGCATGCTGGGGCTGTAAGCTTCTAAAAACTGAATCACCTCAATTATCAGCAAAGATACGCCATTTTCTGTGAATTAGATACGTAGTTGAACTGTTGAAACAGTTAAACTGCTTCTTATTAGCCAAAATATGGTTGTTGCCGCTTAACCTTCTATTCTTTGGCAACAGGTTATAGAACCAGAAGGTGTGAAGATTCTCAAGTTTTCAAGTCCAATTTTTTATGCTAACATCGATGGACTGAAAAGCAGCCTCAAATCCACAGTAAGTGATATGTGATAGTTTTGGATGCTTCTTAACTGTCTTTTGAGTTTTCCTCAGAATTATATCTAGGTAAATTTATATAATTTAATTTTGATCCTTTTTCTGTAGGTGGGATTTGATGCAGTCAAGGTATATAATAAGAGACTCAAAGCACTGAGGAAGATACAAAAGCTAATCAAGAAGGGGAAGTTAAAAGCTACTAAGGTAAAGCATTCTATTTCTTTCTATTCTTTCTCAAAGGATTACTGTTAGAACTTACTACTTTAGCCTTAATTATGAGTTCCTCTATACTCATCTTCAAAATCAAGATGGAAAAGTGTGATTTATTACTATGGTAGGAAGTCTGGGACCTGCAGGAGACTTAGCAGAGCAGTACACCTATTGCCAAAGACCCCACAGATACAGACAGCTGTGCAGACATAGTGTTAACAGGAGTGGAAGCAAGAGATTCCCTGATCTTACCTTTACCCCTCACCACCTCAGATTGTCTCTGTGCAGTAAAAGTGCTGGCTCTTTCATGTGTACATGTTCCTATCATCCAGCTTCCTATGCAGAGGTGAGCTGTGTCAGTTGGCTGGTAGACATAGCCTTCCACATCCTCTTTAAAGAAAGCAACATACGTTCCTCTGAGTATGGAATGTACACTTCAATAATTAAATGCTTACAGGACTGGACAGGTATAGGCAACCTATTAAATCTCTAGAGCTGGAAGGTAGAAATGGGTTTCCTGTTGCCATTGCTCTCAGTGCAGGATGCAGTATTTCCTGTATATATTATAATTTACGATGCACTTAAATGCTCAGTTATGTGACATTCCAGCTTTTGACCTAGTCATTTTACCGTGTTATCATATATAGTAAATCTAATTCAAAGCTGAAAATATCAGTCTTAAATATCTCCTAGAAATAAAGCTATTGAGGGAGGGAGTAGCTCTGAGGTATTTAATTTTCCAGATAGTGGCCTTTTTGCAGGAAGATGCTCTTTTAACAAAGAAAAAAAGAGGAAAGCTGATACACTGCACAGAGGAGGAGGCAATTATGTGCTCTATCTTGTTTTTCTTTAAATTCTGGGATGCAGTATTGTGACCCAACTCTAAGGGGACAGACAGGTTCTTTTAGGGATCCTTGGCAGAATGATGATGACATTAAATTGTAGTTACAATTAAAGCTTTATTTTTCTTAACATGATTTTATGATTAGTATAGCACAGAATTTATGATTAGAACGGCATGGGATTTCTACAAACAGAATCAATGTAGTACAATTTATAAGTAGCGTAATACAGAATTTATAATACCATTTAACTTAAAGTTTCTAATCACCTAGACCCTAACTTAACTTATGGTTTTTAATCACCTGGACCCTCTGCAGATTGGGTCAGATCTTAATACACAGTTTGATGTATCAATATAACAATCATAATCTAGACTCAAAAATCATATAAAAGAAGACAACTCACTCACCCAGTCCTCAGAGGAAGCAGATGACAGTGGAGGCATCCCTGGCCACTGGCGGGTCACAGGTCTCACTGTCCAGCAGCAGTTCTGGTCCAAATTCCCCACTTAGGACTTGTAACTGCTTAATTTTATGGACGGTGCTCTGTGCACTGTTATGCTTCCCTGTTCTGTGATGGGGTCATCAACAACACCTGGTTGGCTGGATGCCTGGGACCTTAAAGGCTGGCAAGGGAGTAATCAGCCTGGCACACTGGAATCTTGAGGCTGGTAGGGAGGGAATGAAGAAATCTGTTTCATTTATCTACTTAGTTCACAGGACCTTCAAGGCCTGAGAGTGAGGGGAAAGGGAATGAATACGTGACCTGCTCGGTCACAGAGAATGGCTGCATGCCTTATAAATTGGCATTAGTTATGCTAACCACATTACCAGGGGCCGGGAGCAGGGGCTACGGTCACAAGTGTCGGTCTTGTTCATTCCTGAAACAGAAGTTATCACAGGGAAGTATTTTCTGTAACTCCAAAACTTTCTCCATGATTAAATGCTATCTTCCATATATTATCTGCACATTAGAATGGCATCATCAGTGAGCCTGGTATTAATAATGAAGCTTTTGAGACTGATGAGGACCCTGAAGACAACGAAGATCTTCAAGTTCCCACCAAAGAAGTAGAGATCCAGGTGGACTGGAATTCAGAACTCCCAGTCAAAGTAAACATCCCCAAGGTGCCCATCCACAGTCTCATTCTTGATTTTGGAGCAGTAACCTTCTTGGATATTGTAGCTGTGAGATCAATAAAAACGGTAAGAGCATTTTTTTCTGGCGCTCCATGAAAATGAAACTAGTCAGTAGTACCTAAATTGAGAGCTGTTAGCTGAAGTTAATTTCTGAAGTTTTAAAAGTCTGTTCCTGAAAAGTACCTTTAAAACTTACATAGCAAGAGGTAGAATATTGGGGTGTGCATACTTTATGTGGAAAAAAAAAATTAAAAAATGCATTAAAAGAACAATATGAAGGTTGCACAGTCAAGTACTCTAAAATTAGAACTGCAAAATGTGGTCCCCTTGTATGCATATGTTATGAAATATTTTAGTTATAGATTTTCTTTCCACATGCCTCCTGCTTTAATCTGGGCACAGGATGATGCTCACTCAACACAGAGGTAGTAAAAATTTCATCTTACCATCACTTCAGTCTTTAGCAACAAAATTTATTTATTCATTCCATATTATTTAAATTATGACAGAAGGAAGAATGATTAATTTCTTTATAGGGTTTTCTGTGGCTAATATCACTGCGCTTCATCAACATTCATTAATTCATCTTCAAACATCACACTATGTGCTAAGATAATATTCCTAGTTTAGGGAGAGGGAAATGAGGTGAAGAGATAAAGGCCAAGTATTTCCATTATTTTTTGGTGCCCTGTTACAAGTGTGGAGGACCAGATTGTGCAGTCTTTAGTCTTTTATGATACTTTGTATGTTCAGATTGCTGCTTTCACTAAGTTCATTTTGCAGTTGGTACTGCTTAGCCTCTCTATAAACCACATCTTAGATTACCCAGACTCTAGTTTATCAATGAACAGAACGGGATGGAATTAGCAATCACCTTTGAAAATACTAAGAGACTTGCCTGCCACCAGGGAGCCAGGGGTAGAATCCAGTCTCCCACCTTTTAACTAACTGAAGTACAAGAATGCTGTGTGCCTTGCTTCAGCCTTCTGCCTAGTTTCAGTTCAGTTCCAGCTTCTGACACAAAAGAGCTAGGGGGTCCACAGACATGATTCTTCCCATATGCAGCTTTTTCATCCAAGAACAGGTCCTTCTGGTGCACTGCATGAGGGAAAAAGTCTGTGTAAAAAAATTTGCATGTGCCAGTGAAAGATTGTATCATATCACACGTACATGGGGAGGAATAAAGTTTGCTCAGGCCCACGTGGTTCTCACTTGAAAATACATGATTATTCATATTATGAGATCAGAATGAGAACCTTAATAGGCAGCAATCTATATATGCGTAAAATTGATAGTTCCACTTACATAGCTGAAGATAGGCCACTTCGGCAGCCAGGTACTTAACTACTGGATCTTTACGTATAGCAGAGTATAGCAGTTCCTTATTTATGATGAATAAACAAAATATACAATTTGGAATGAAAACACTCAGAAACAAATTAATTGTGTGTGTGTGCCTATACATTACACATATAGAAATATATGTATTTTCTCCTTACAGGCTTTATTTATTTATGTCCTTGTTACAAACTTTTATTTTTTTAGATAATTAGAGAGTTTGAGAGAATTGATGTGAGAGTATACTTTGCTTCATATCAAGGTAAACATCCAAATATTTCTACTACCACTCATGCAAAGAGTAAAATGAATATGAGAAGGGATGAGAAGGGATCTCTAGATGTGTCTGTGGGAGCATTTGTTCTAATAAAAATGTAAATTATCACACTGATAAACATGGTGGGCTGCAGTGGGACACAAGGAGTGGGGTTTAAAGGAAATATGGAAAGTAAAAGTCAAGACAAAGCTATGGTTGATTGACTTGATTTGGCTGTACGTTTGATTTCTGATAGTTGTAACCATGTATTTTGACACTTATTTCTTAAATTACTTCAAATTGTATTAACCTGTTACGACTTTCTTTTATTCAGACAACCTTATATCTCAACTGGAACGGAGTGCCTTCTTTGATGATATAGTCAGAAAAGACATATTCTTCTTGACTGTCCATGATGCTGTGCTCTACATAAGGAATCAAATGACATACAGTGACAACCAGGATCCCATCTTCGAGAAGGTAAGGATATCCAGTAGTACATTTCCCTTCCTTCTACCATCTAGCGTTCATTCTTGCAATTTCCATTACAGCATGGCACGTTTGAAAACTAGACATAGAGCTGTAGTACAAATTAAGGGAGAGTCTAGTAAATTGGACAGCTTCTGTAGTACCTAAATATCTTGCTAGATCAAAGGAAGGGTCTGTCGACCCCAGAGTCTTGTTAGTGAAAAGAACACGAGAAACAGGATATATGGAGAACACTTCATCCTAAGACACATTTTCTAGTTTCTGACCACTGGCAGCTTAAGAACTTCCTTAGCTGGAGGTTGCATGTGGACCATTATATTTAATTGTCGCAGAAGGAGTTCTCTTTGATGCAGCTGTCATACTCCTTTTGGAACCCCTTCACACTTTTTAGCTTGACACTATCTTGTGGCCATGGGTTCTGTAATTTTAAATGTGTTATATGACAAATATTTAATCCTGTTGGATTTCTGGATTTTAGCTGCAATGAATAATCATTCCTTGCTCCCTTTCCCAACACTGTTAATAATTTCATATACCTCTGATGAAAGCTGAAGAGTCCCATTCTACTTGGTGTGAGTGCGCGTGGAAGCTGTTCCATGCTAGTGTTCATTCCTACTGCCCTTCTCTGTGCATTTCCTAGTTGTATTCTGCGTTTTTTGAGATAACCAGAATACTCTGTAGTGTTTAAAGATGTGGACCCACATTAGAAAAATGGCCTTATATTTTCACCACAACTCCTTCCCTAGCAATTGCTATTATAGTATTATAAATAAAGAGTAATTAATATTGCTGTTAAATAACTAGGATGGAGCCCCTTTTTTTTTTTATAATTTTTGCTTACTACCCAGGATCTAGAAGTTTTGTCCTGTCTTATAGTAGAGATTAACATTTTGACAAAGCCGTACAGCAGTTTAGAAATCGAATCTGCTTTTATTGTTTTTACAAAGCCATAACTAGTCATACAAAGAGAGGCAGGACCAAAAGCTTTCCAACATGTAAGTTTCTCTCAGCTGAACTAAAGCAACAGCTTTGTCAAGGAACAGTGAACAACAGATTCCTGTGAGTTGTGGAAGTTATATTAAGGTAATTCAGAATAATAAATCAATTTCAATGATACAGACAACGTGTAACTCATCACATTTCTTAATTTCTTTCTACCAAGATTTCACTCATGCAGGAGTCTAAAGAACCCATAGAATTCACAGAAACAAGCCGTCCTGATGATGAACTTGATGTTCAGGAAGAGGTACGCACTTTGGAACTGATTGTGTCTATTACTTATGGAACACTGCTGGCTTTATTCCTTTGCCTGTAGCATTGAGTCATGCTGTGAGAGTATGGTGGCTGATCTGAGCCCTCAACAGTTTCCTTCTCCATAAATAAATACCCTTCTTGGGCACCTGGATGTCAGTGCTTAGTGGAAGAAGGCAAGGTCTTTTTGAGATGTAGTAGATTGTATGTGCACAAGCGTCTCCTGACCTCTGTCACTTTAGGACTACTTTTGCCTTACACAGGCAAAAGTCAGGTGCCTAAAAGAAGACGTGGTAGGGCTTGAAGCACCCAAGTCCAAAATTACCGTCAACTTTCGCCCTTCATTCCTCCTTTTAACACAGCAGGCATCTTTTTGCACAATGTAAACATTTTACAGGAAGCTGCAGCAAAGCAGTGTACTGAACATAACTAACACGCAACAACACAAGTCCATTAAAGCAATACCATGATATTTTGTATTTAGAAAATACTGCCAGAAAAGAAAGTAGCACTTACTGCTGAAAAAACAGTGCAGCACGCAGGTCACTTATTCAGAAAATAGAAGATTTGGCTAAATGCCCTTTTATTGCCTGAGATGAATTAAACTAGTGATGCATCAATACCTTGGAAGTATTACAACACTCCATGTAGGTAAAGGCATGATTATTATGTGTCCCTCCTACTGTGGTACTAGTCAGAACTCTGTTCTTAATTCCCTGTCTAAAATGGGGCAGTGGCCTGTGCTTGGTCTCTCTGCTTCAGCCACAGGAATGCTGTGACCCTCCTCTCTGTCATGCTCTAGCAAAATCCTGCAGCAAGGTTGCTGCACATGTGGGATGTAGAGGTCCCTGGAGGGAAGTTGATAAGGGGAGGTTGTGGCTGGGTGGAGGTTCTCAGCATCACTCTGCATTGTAGTTTCTACCATAGCATGAAGTCCTGTAGGAAAAGGTAAGGTCAGCTTGGAAGGCAGATTGGTGAGAGGAGAAACTGAGACCCTAAGCAAAAGCCTCTCAAACTTCATCAGGGCTTGGTAAGTAGATTGTGATACTTGGTACTCCTGATTCACCCCCTCCTTTTTTTGGTTGGTATGAATATTGCAAGAGACCCAAACATTACTCTTTATCACTGATATGGGGAGAAGCAATTCCTAATCCTCTGTTAAGTCACAGCACAGAAGGAGATGAAGGATTGAAAAAACTAGAAAGACACCATGACTGTAACAGAAGCATTTGGAAATGGCAGGCCAAAAAGACTTGAATTCTGATTTCTATTCACAGGATTGCTTAAATATTTGTATGATTGTCATTAAATAAGAAAAGAAGCCAGACACAGAACTACCAATCCAAGGTCAAAGAGTGTTCTGAGAGGTTTCTGTCCTCCACCCTTATTGGCATATTTTGAAGGTGAGAGCTAGTAACCTTCAGACCTGCAGCTTCCCAACTGAATTGTCCGATGCAGACACAAGTCAGAGGGACGCTACCTCAGAACAGTTACTTTCTCTGTACTTTCACTGATACCAGGTTGAACTTGGTAGTTTTTAGTTAACACATACACAAACATTTTATTTTTCCAAGCGGTGTGTACTCAGAACTAACCATGGCCTGTTTCTCTCCACCTTTTTAAAACCATTTCACTAGGCTATGCGCAGACTTGCTTCATGAAGATGGACTGCTGGTACTGTCTTACCTGTGAACTCACAGCAATATTTATGCACCGGTACTATATAAGCATTTTCTGCAATGAAACTAATCTTTGCACTTGAAGAAAACCCTGATTATTTGTCTGAATGATACAGATCTCTAGAAACCTCCAAATTTTAGCTAACGTTATCCTGGAAATACTCTGGACCTTGATTCAGCGAGCACTTTCCGGCATGATACATTGATTAAAAAAATCAGAAGACTGTTACAAAAGATGTGCTCAGTTTTGGGACTAGTCAGGCAGAAGGTGCATTACACTGTTTTATCAGTGCGTACAGGATGAGAAGCTGCTTTGTGGTCTGCCCAGAAAAGTCAAAGAGACCAAAATGTTTGGATGGCAAGCCGTTAGTTCTGTATTTGTACAATGCCTAGCGAGAGTGCAGGAGTTCTAGCCAGCCAAGGCTTTGCAATTCTAGACCATTAGGGTGAGCATACGTGCTGACTTATCTTGAAAAATGTATTGTGATCATTTTTTCCAAGCAATTCCTTAAATTGCTCCAGGTTGTTAGATAACTGAAATGGGTGACAGGTGAAACAGTCACATGAACAGCAAATGGCACTGAACTACTATAAAACTTTAAATAGGACAAGTTTCAATAGAAAAGACCCTTGGGTATGGGTTCATCAGTTCTGTATTAATCCCATTGTGGCAAATCATACACTACTATTAGTGATCGTCCCTAAAATGAAGTATACACAGAAGATTATTTTGACTAGGTTACATATCTTTCATCAACAGGCAGAACATGACATAAATTAGATTCATGAAAACCTTAGTCCCCAAGTACTTAATGGAATCTGTAGAACAGGCTGCTACTGAGTGCAAGTAAGAATGTGACCTGGTATAGAGGTTTGTTTTTTTTTAAATGGAAGATAGGAGTTTATTTAGCTTAATGAATAGTTATATTTTTACATAGCATAACTCTTCTTTTAATATTCTACATCAAACTTCTGCTGTTCTTTTACATTTGACAGCCCATAACGCACAAGTGCAATAATTTACAAAAGATAAAGGATTTGACTTGCAAAACTTTAATCTTTACTTTAGGACTATATAAAATAGATATACAGGAAATCAATGTTCTTACTTTTCATGAAGAAGAAATGTGTTTTGATGGAAAACAGACTGCTACCTTAAATTTTTTAGCACTACATTAACTTTTTAAATGGAAAAAACCCCTGCATGGTGAGGGAACAGTTAATAACAAAAGTGTAACAAATGTCCAAGCATAAAGTCCCTTTAAGTTTCACAATGTGGGCTAATTAGCTTCAGTATGTTCATGTATTTAAGTCTCCTTATTTGATTACATCAGAGAAATTTTCCTATATCACACTGCACAGAGATTTTTACTGCAAGTAATGTTAGCAGAAAAATCTCAGGTGAAAAGTTAAGCACTAAATAAATTATTCCATCCTAGGGACCTGAGTGAACTCCATCAAAATCAGTGAAAAAAATCCTGTAACCTTCAGTCAGTTGGACAGTATCTTACACAATAGGTAACAGCACCAGACCGACATCTTTAATTAAGGCAAAAACTTCAGTCCTCATGACAGTCAGTGAAGTTTCCCATTTCAAATGCAATACAGGCTTGAACCTAGATGATATTGATGTTCCAGTCCAAGCCAGCAAAAAAGCAGGTCTGTATTTACAAAGACATATGCCATTTGTATGTCAGATTGGCATCTCCACAAGCTGAGAATTACGTGTGTGTTTAAGCGGCAAATCAGACTGATCTGCACCTCCTCACACCTAAGTATTAATTTCTATTTACACTAATGCTTAGGCTCAGGCTGTGATTTGACAAGTCACGCTTTTATCACTACCCGTCCTCATTCTCTCCCCTTCCATTCACCAGCCTAATGCAGGAGGTTGGCACTTCTGCCCACATTACTGTCAAAACTTTCCTATCAAGCCATGGCCCCAACTTATATCAACCCGAATGAAAGGCACTGTTGCCAGCGCACAAGGCCAGTAACATTTCTCAGAAGCTCTACTGCTTTTCTAAAGTGAATGTACATTTTATGTAAAAAGTAAAAGTAAAATATTCTACGTGGGACTGGTAAGTGAGCTTTCAGCTAATTTTTATGCATAAACTCATACCGCAGAAAAGATGGTATAAAAAATGATAGCAATGCAATTTTTTTTTTCCTCAAGACAACATCTGCACTGTGAAGTTTGAATATAGATTCTCACTCAAAAGAAATGTGGGCTTAGTTATTTTTTGAACCTTCTCCAGCTCTTGTCCATACAGGTATTTAGAAAAACAGTCAACAGTCTTCCAGTTTCCTTTCTAAATATGACATTTCAGCTGGAATTAATTGTGATAAAATACGACGCAGTGCACTTATTCTTGGCCTGCATATTTCTTCAAGGCATGGTTGTATTTGTTCTTAATTTAACTGGCACAAAATATTCAGTTTTTCCTGAAAAACAGCATTTCACACAAAGCCTAGAGTTACACACAATGGCAAGAGGTAACACGCAGAAGGCATTTAAATACCTTTCTCAGTGGGTAAGGCGGTATGTGCTTCTTAATTTACTCCCTATGTATCCATCAAAATGAAGGATACCAAAATAATGGATTTTGCAATGAAGCTAAAATTCTATACAATTTTGTACTAATTCAAGCATCTGTAAGTAATGCAACTAGATGTGCTTATCTTTTTCCAGTAGAATGAAGAAATTGTATTTTTGTATGCATTTTGAATATTACTGTTCTGTCTTTGCATGTCAGGTATTCAATTTGGAGATGTATTTTAAGTTTTTTACCCTTTTAAAAAGCTCCATTTTAAAAGTAATTGTATCTATTAACTAGAAAATAAAGTTGTGCATACCAAGAACATGCTCCATGGCATCCATGTTTGCTTTTTTTTAAACTCTTCTCTTTGTGAATTCTTATTATGGGGAAATAAAGCATATTATGCAGGCATCAGCATCATGTGTCCCATGGGTCTGCCTTCTGAGGAACAACAAAGACAAAAGGGAAAACCTGTTCTGTCTGCCTTTCGGGGATAAGGCAAGAAACACTAGGCTTAAACGGCAGCTTTTAAACGTTAAGGCAGTAAAGATAATGAGAGACGTTGTAGGGACCCAAGATCCCAATCCTGGAGGCTTTTAGCGAGACAGTCCCTAACCTGAAGCGTGTGGCATAGAGCTGCCCCTACCTGAGCTGAGGATTGTGGAGGGGCTGCTCGAGGCCGCTTTCTACCCTATAACCTACGATTTAATCGTATTTTTATTTCTTTTCTTTCTTCAGTGCTGTAGAAGCGCTCTATAAAGACAGCATCCCACTGCATTACATAGGATTTACAAAATGCTGAGTTCATGGAAACGACACAAAGTAGTCTCTTGAGGCAGTGAGCTCTACTGCTGTGAAGCCTTAGGGAGGAGCACCGGAGGCTCACTGTTCCATCAAGTCATGGGCACCGCCACAGCCCCGACTGCCAGGAACCAGCCGTTTCCACGGTGAAACGGAAGGCTGACCGTCAGCGGCCGAGGGAGCCCAACGTGGATCCGGATTCGCCCAACTTCTCGGAAGCCCGCACCTCACAAGCCACCCTCCCAGCACGCCCGCAGGCAGGGCTGCCGCGGCTCCTGAGCGGAAAACCCCCTCTCGTCGCCACTTCCACCCTCCTGCCACAAGCCGCGGGAGGCTCCTACCTCCCATTTCCCAACTATTCCTCCCTGCCGCGGGCCCGAAGCTCTCCCCGCCAGAGCGCCTCCGAGCTCCGCCCCGAGCGGCTGGATGCGGGTCCCCCCGGGGCGGCCTGCGGTAAACAGACCGGTGTGTGCGGAGCCCGTCGGCCTGCTGCAGGTGGATGCAGCCTGTAGCGCTTGGGGGGAGGCGGCGGCGGCGAGGCGCTCGTTTGCCCGCTGCGTTTGCCGAGATGGGCGCCGATAGTGCGTTTTCTGGTCCCGTAGTCGCGCTCGGGAGAGGAAACTTTCTCGTGTGCTTAAATGTGGTTTTGTAGCTTTGATGCTTTGCTGGTTGGCGTGCTGGCGTCGTCTGAGGAATGGATGAGTGGACGCGGGGGTTTTGCTAGGGCTTTGGGGGGGGGTTTCTCCCCCTTTGCAAAGGTTGCATTATAAATTTGTATGTGTGAGATACGGTATTTCGGCTGTATTTATGGATTTTAAAAAACTTGAAATGCAAAAATAAAACTTAAGTAAACTTGAGGAAGGTGATGGTTCAGGAGGATGTGTCACCTCTAATTAGAGCTTCTCTGAGTAGTCTTAATAATTTTGGTATGGTTTTCGGTTTTTTTTCTGGACTTAATCCTGCTAGTTATGCTCTCACAGACTGGAATGTATTATCCTTCCATGAAACTTGAATGACTAATAAACTTGCTAGTTTGGATCAGTTGAGCACCTAACTCATGTAAATATTCCTAGCTTGCAAACGTACATGGAAGAAAAACGTCAGAACTTAATTGTTTCCTATTGCCAGCTCAATGGAATAAATAATACACAAGAGTTTGTTTAAATTTTAGTTATTCCTGTTTGCAAGTGGATTGACGTCCTGCAGAGACTTTTTCTGGTTTATGGTGTTGTGGTTTTGTGTATTCTGGTAAAAAACAGGATTTCCCAACAAGTGGAAAATAGACAGCTTTAGCATTATTATCTCTGATGTTCGAGCCCAGCAGCCTTGGGGATGTCGTGGTTGTGTTTGCTGGGTCATCTGTTTAGCCAACAGGACAGCCTAAACAAAAGCAAAAAATGAACAAAAGTAAAAACAGGCGTTATTGGTTTTGCCTTTTTACATACTGCCTTTTAGAGTGAAATGTGTCAACCACCGTGCTAAGAGGAATTTGATCTATCAGAGGAAATTGAGGGCTCTTGATTTTGAGGTAAAGTGACTGTCAGGGCATAATCCCGATTTCAAACTTTTGCAGTTCCTAGTTTTGGTGGTAGCTGCTGAATAACTTAGAGCAATCCCTTTTTTCCTTTTTTTTTTTTCTTC